AAGTCGGCAGAAATTCCTACTGGGCGGGAGGGGTGGGGAGGTATGGTGGAGTGGTGGGTGGTGGCCCGAGGGGTAGAGATAGGGTCCGGCCCACGCTGCGCCTGGGCTGGGACTGGTCCCACCGGCGCAGGGTAGCAGGAAGCTCTCCACACACTCACCGGACCTGGGCTAGGACTGGGTCTGGGGGTTCCCGGAAGTCGGCAGAAATTCTTGATTTTTCTTCTTAGCCTTATAAAACTTTTGTAACACAATTTCCAGAGGAGATCCTATAATATAATTACATAATAAATGTAACAGTACTTTCTACACTTAATTATTCTTCATTTCAATTTCTAACTCTGGTTTTCTATGTGTTAATTGAGAGCCTAGAGACAATCACACTAAGGAAATGTTTAAATAAAAGTAGTAATTATTAGTATATTTGACTAAAAGAACATGTCAAAATTACCATCCCCTGAGAACTAGATTACAGTGTTTAAGGTGCTCCTTAATAGTAAGAATGCTAAGAAGTGTAATTAAATAGAACAGAATGTTAAGGCAGACAAGAGATCATTTTAAGTACAATATTATCTAAGTGTACTTTTTTAATATTTTGGTTTATAGTCATTAAGTACTTTCACATGGATTGATGTTATCTGAGTTTGGATTAGTAAAATTTGCCAGATGGACCAAAGCCAGGATTCGTTGGTTTGGTGCATTTCTGCGAATCATTGTGAATTTTCTGTAGCAATAACTCCTCTAATCATACATTGTAAAATAGTCTGGGGTTTGGAATTAGGTCTATATATGATTGGGGCATGGAAACAATTTTGTCATAGTCTAGCCCCTCAAGCGTAAAAGAATAGCTTCCCAAGACCACACATTTTCCCTGTTCTTATTTCTTCTTTAGTGTGGGCAATTTGTGTTTTCTCTTTCTGCATGCTATCTTAAGAAATTTTCTGTGGATAAATTTTTTTTGTACCAGAAAATGAATTCTGGACTTTGCACTTGACAGGCAGGGGCTTTGCCACTGAGCTATATCACCAGCTCTCAACACAGACTTTACAACCAGTAAATGTCAACTGACAGACTGTTTTCTTTTTTTAATGTATCTGGTACAGGGTCTCACTATGCCCTCGACTTGAAGTGATTTTCCTGTTTTAGGCTCCCAAACTCTGGGATTATAGGCGTGTACCCCGATGCCTGGTCTTGGTGGCTGGCTGAGCATGCCTGAGGTCAGCGCCAAAACACCCTGTGGTGCTAAGGATTGAACCCCGATCCCGTTGCTTGCCTAAGCACATGCTTAGTCCATTGAGCTATCTCAATTGTCACAGACAAATTTTCTTGAGTTAAAAATAATTCCCAAAAGATAGAATGCCTTCATTTTATGGTGTGTGTGTATGTAGATCATAATGGTTATTGTGGTTGTAGGAAATCAGTGGAAAAAAAAATATCAGTGAAAAAAATCAAAAATAATATCACCCTATTTTTCTCTTAGAATTCCATGTTTAAAAAAAGCAAGAATGGGCTAGGGATATAGCTCAGAGGCACAAGCACATTCATGGAAGCACAAAATCCAGAGTCAATTTCTGGTAAAAAA